CTTCAGAAATGGAGCTGCCTGGTGGGGGAGGTTTACAGGAGGCAGCTCCTATACAGACAATGAGCTTTTCTCCAAACACTGGGGAAGGCAGGCAAGCGGGTGGGTGGGGCGGGCCTTGGGGAGTGGCTATTTAAAACACTTGGCTCCTTTTATTTCACCACCAGGGAAGTGAATTTGGTTCCTAAGCCAGAGCAAATGAAGTCATTTTGTTTCCACAGATTTTCTTTGCATTTCTGTGATGCCTTCTGGGTGTATACATCAGGGTTAAAAGTCAAGCTGTCCCTTCTCAAAACTGAAAATCTGAGCCCACTTAAGAGTTAACGTTTAAACAGAATTTTTAGTGCTTCAGTGTGTGTTTGTTTATTCCAAGTTTAAATGAAGTAGAAAAAAAGCATCACCAGAGAAGGGCCTGAAGACCAGAGAATTGAAACTGACTTAGTCAAATGCCATAAGAATAAGGTGTAAAGAGCAGCACATAAAGTCAACTTCTAAATGCAGAAGTTGCTATCGAAGATAACTATGGTTTTATCAAGTGAATCCAACAAGATTTCCTAGATTTTTGTTCCTTACCATCTTTTCAGAGACTATTAACAGATGGTAATAATATGCTAATCTATTTATTTAATTTACTATTTCAGGAATGGCAGGAGAAAAAAAAAAGAGGATAATGGTTTGCAATATTGAGTTCATCAGCTTGTGGCATTCAAAAGAGGGAAAAAAATGTGTTGGGATGCATGTTGGGAGATGGGAAAATCCAACAGCCATTTCTTCTCAGCCTCCGTGGTGGCTGGCTGTATGGGCACAGAGAAGCACACACATGCTATTTTCCCCAGTTACCCCCACCTAAGTATAACAACAGTCTCTGATGAGCTTTTCCAATTTTTGTGAACATTCTCAGTTAAAAAAAAAAAAAAGATCCTCTTTCATGTTAAGTTGAGATTGCACTTGAAATCCATCCAAAGGCAGAGCTGTACTGAATTATGATAATTAGAAAGCTGTGTCTATAAAAAAAAAAGCAGCAGTTGATGCATTTTAAAAAGTTCATGCCAGAGAATATAAGTTCAATATGTTCTCACATAATTAACATTTCCCACCATTAGCAGCAGTTTTTCAGTTTATATCTCTGTAAAAACAACAGCCCTGACATTGTTTTACACTCAGTCAACAATGTTTAAGTCACTTTACACAAAAGTCTAAACTTTGTCAAATACCTACCGGCAATCCCAATACTGCTGGAGGCTACCGATTGTGATTCTAAATCACAATGAATAAGGCCAGCTCTCCCTTTCTTCTTTGAAATTCATTCCCCGCCTCAGGAAGAAGCCATTCCAACTAAAACTACTGAGGAAGATCTAGCAAAACACAAATAGCAACCTGCATCTGGAGAAGGGCAAGAAGAGTAGAAGGGAGGGCCAGGATAGGCCAGGCAAAAAAGGAGAGACAAAGGCTAAGTGAGAAGTGATGGATGCCCTTGCCGGGACTGCTGCAAATCCTGAAGGGCCCTATGGCCTTAGCCAATCCAAAGAAACAATCTGCCACAGTTTGCAAAGTTTCCCAGCCAGTCCAAGACATTTCTGGAGTACCCACCACCCAACCCCCAAGTTAAGAATATAGAGAACAAAGAAAAACCCCATCCGGAGACGGAAAGTTACTCTCCCAACAATCATTTTTTCTTTTAATGGTCAGAAGCAACTAATCTTGTTACTAGGACAAAGTCCAAAAGGGTCTGGAGAAACCTATAAGCTTCCACTCTGAACTCAGGTACTACTGGACAAAGATGGTGGTTTCTAATCAAAACATTAGAGATTCTGATGAGAGGTCTCAGAAGTTAATCCAGGCTCTGACAACACAAACATTCTAATTTAGAGCATGTTTTAAAATTTGAAGAATTTAAAGAACAAGAAATTCACTGTTACAAACCATATATTAAGTTGGGGGGGGGGGATACCTAATAGTAAGAATGGAAACTAAATTGGCTAATTTTTAAAAACTATACAAAAAAAATCATAAACATTGAGATGGCAATAAACAGAGAGGTTGGAGTGGGACACTTGATTTTATCAACTTTGTGAAAGTTCACGATGAAAATACGGTATTAACGTAGGTTCAAAGGAAGCCTGGCCTATAATTTAAATGCTACATTGGTTGCATGAATCCCAACTCATCTTTTAAGCCATCCTCAGTCCCTCTTACCAGTCATCAACACAGGCACTTCTTAGGTCTCCCGGATTAGCCTGAACTTGTCAAAAAGTGAATCAATTTATAATACTGCTTTCAGAATCTAGTGATATGCTCAATGAAACCAACCACTTCTATTAAATAAACTGCATGTGGTGAACAACAGTTAGCTGGAGACAACGCATTGCATGTTTTTAGACAAAGTCGGGGCTCCAACTTTCCTGCTCTCTTGGGGATGAAGCTCTCCAAGTTTTACCAGGAATTGAGATGAGTTCTCTGCAAACCTTTTCCTCCTCAGTGATTTTTTTCTTGCTGCTAATCTGGCCCAAGGCTAGGTCCAAAAGATTTCGAGTTTAAAGGTGAGCTACATTCTACAATGAAAGTGGTCATTACCGCTCTCCTATATTTGTACAAACCTAGAAGATCAACTACATTTCAATTTCCACTTAAGGGCAGTATAATTAAGCTAACGGTTAAGACTGAGATGAAAAAGTAATCAGGATAGATGATGTCTCCCTGATACATCCAAATACATAAAGAAGCATGTAATCTTTAAAGGGGGCAAACTTTGAAGATATGACTCTTGCATCTAATATTTTTTTTTAAATCTTTACACTTGGGGGTCTAAATTCAACAACTGGTTTAGGTTACCTCTCCTGAAAACATATGACTACAATATCATCTTAGTTGTTATAAAATACTACAATTATCTCCTACTTTTAAAATTTCACCCACAATTGTTTCATTGAAGAGGGTTGTGTTTTGTTTTTTTTTTCTCTATTTGCAGCTGCTCTATACAGCAAAAAGGAGTTTTTGTAAAACTGAGACATAGGGTCAAAAACTTCAAAAAATATTTTTTTCTTACTGTCACTTTACTTCTTTAAAAAAAAAAGGAAGAAAAGAAAGACTGAGAAATATGCATTCAAAATCTCTAGAATGAGACTACCAAAAGTAGGTATATTATCCTGTCAGTGAAAGGAGAACTGAGTCCAGGACCCTCCCTAACCTTCTCTCCCCACACCAACACCTCTCCTGTAGCCATCAGCTCTCCTGCAAAAGCCCTCACACAACAGAATTCATTCTCTCAAATTGAAGATTCACTTTCAAGTCTATTTCACAGCAAAGTGAGCATTCCTCCCTGGCAACTTTAGGTAAAATGTCATTATGCAGATGTTGATTTTTTCTCCTCACATGTTCTCATGGGGTTGGCACCCAACTTCAGGGACTTTGGAGAGCATCACATACAGTGGTCAAGAACTAAGCACAAAGCTTTTCCCTATACTCCTGTTGTTCTTCAGGTTGCTTTTCCAATTAAAAGGTCAAAAACAAAAATGAAAACAAAATGTTCTGATAGTCCATCTAAATTATTGGTCAAACTAGAGCTCTTGCAATAAAAATGACTTGGGTCCGGGTACTCACATACTATCAAGAAATAATAAACATTCCTCTTGCACTTAATATCTGAATCAGCTATTATTTATCACAACAGATATTTGACAGTTTCATATTAGGAGAAAACCTAAAGAGAAAATCTAGGACCATTCCTGGAGATACATAGATTAGAAAAAAAAATTAAGCCTTTCCCCTCAAAATTATTCAGTTTACAAAGACTAATCAACCCACTTAAGAGTTCAGAAGTCACTTTTTAATTAGTCCTAGCATTTCCTTCCGAAGGAAAGGGATTTCTTCCCCAAGTTGCCTGCCTGGCACTCATTTTTAGATGAGTGAGTTAGCCCTTGCTGCTAATCCTGCCCAAAAACCTAATAAAGGTGTTCCCTAGCTGTTTCTAGAAATGACAATTTGCTACGCAAATCCTGCAGGGAGCCATTTTAAATCTAAGAATCACCAGGAAAAAAAAAAATTCTGACTGTGACTACTATTTTAGTACATTGTTGTAAGGATGCCACTGGATCCTTCCGCTAAATATCTCTATCAAATATTATTTCAGGTTATGTATAGATTTATACATTTTGTCATGCTGCAGAATGTCGAAACATCTTGTCTAAAATGTACTTATTCAGCACAGAACTGTAATCCTTGTTTATTCAGGTAACCACCTGCACTTAGCACCCCTGAAACAGCAACTAGCCTGCAGTTGAAAGAAAAAAATCAGGAAGAGAAAAAAAGAAGGGAGTCATGTGGTTAACCTGAGCTGGGGAATAAGTGATACTGTAGTTTCTGTGCAACAGGCTGTATTTCCAACCTGTAGCACTTTTTTTAATAAAAAACAAAAAAACAACGAAATCTGAAAAGGTTGATGGCTGCTCTTTCAGTTCTGGGCTTCTTCCTCCCAAGGTAGTTTTGTTTTTGTTTTTAAATGCATGGCCGGCCTTTTTATAGGCAGAGTAACTGGTCTCTAAGTTTCCAGTACTTACTGAGGTCAATTTTCATTTCTGCAAATCAAAGGCAGCCACTTGCTTCTAATAAGTTAACAAGTCTCCAGAGAAATGGTGGTGGCTGGTATTTCATTGTTTCATAAATGTTTTTATACAGTAACACTATGCAACTTAAAACATTTTTTGAAAACATTAATAGAAATAAAAATCGTGTTCTGTATTTTTAAAAGAGGTCTGAGTCAGCCCCCGCTGTTTTTCTGCTACATAAAATGTTGCTCCGCCTTAAGAAAAATAAAGCAAACAAAACCCCGGCAAAGAAAAGGAAAAGATTCTTAACAACTTCTCACTCCCTTTAAAGAGTACGGCAGGACTTTGGGAAACCAGGGCTAACAGAGCCGAACAAAGGCTGTAACCACAACCCGCTCCAGTTTTCTCCTGGATCTTTTCTGGGTCAGTAAACAAACAAATAACCCCTAGGTTTCCTACCGAAGGGAAGTTTTCCAGGGAGAATCTCCTCCTGGGTTTGGTGGTAACTGCGACTTAGTCTTTTTGGGACACAATGTTTCTGCTGACTCCCGAAAATTTTCCACTTGAATGTGCAATTAAGCAGCGGCGGCGGCGGCGGCAGCAGCAGCAGCAGTCCTAGAGGAGCAGTAGAAAAGAACATGCCTTCTTTCATCTTTCAGAAGCCCCCCAAGTTCCCCAAAGCAGCACCACTCTCAGAAGCAGCCCGGGAGCCCGAGGTCTGTCTGTCTGTCTGCCTGGCTGGCTGCCTGGCTCTCTCTGTGTGTCTGCTGCTGTATTTCAGAGGTGGCCGTTCTCAGGGCACCGGGCTGCGCGGGCTCATGTCAGGCTGGCTGGGCGCTGCTGCCGCCGCCGGGGCTGGGGCCAGGGCCGGGTCGGGGCTGCTGCAAGCGGCGGTGGCGGCTGCTTCTCCACCCAGCCTCCGGCTCGCTCGCTCCTACTAACTTCTTCCTTCTTGGCGAAAAATGTGACAAATATCAAAGGTTTTGTGCGTGTGTGGCGCGCGTGTGTGTGTGTGTGTGTGTGTGCGTGTATGTGTGTAAGCGAGAAGGGAGGGGGTGAGGGGGAGAACGAGAGCGCTGTGTGTGTGTGCATGCATGTGTGTGTGAGGGAGTGAGGGAGTGTGTGAGGCTAAGTGAGAAACACTGAGTCAGGGAAAGCAGCCACAGGAGGAGCAGGGCTGGAACGGGAGCAGCCGCCTGTTGCAGCTCCGGCTTCACACTCCGCAGCAAAACTCCATTTCAACAACTTGCCAGGCTCGCGCTCTCTCGCCTTTTCTGCTCCGGTCCCTCCCCACACCCCGGCTGAACTCGGCTCAGCCCAGCCCGCGGACAGACGGACCGACCACGCTCTACACCTTCCCCGTCTCGCGCCTCCCCCCACCCCCCAGCCGCGCGCCCGGGTCACCTGCAGGGGGCCCGGGGGAGGGGAAGGGGAGGAGGAGAAGGGGGGGGTCAGCGGCCGGGAGAAGGGAGGCCAGAGGAACATAACAGGAGGACCCCCCCCATCCCCCGCCCCGCGCCCGCTGCCCGCCGGCCGGCCCGCCCGCCCGCCACACACAAAGCAGACAGACAGAGCTCGGGAGGGAGAAAGGAAAGAGGGTGACGCTCGTGCAAGGGTCCCTGCGAAGCGGCATCCACCACCACCACCCCCCGCAGAAACTTACCTTTCACTCTACCTTTGCAAAAACACCTCCAGCTTCTTGCAATTCAATTGCAAACTTCTTGGCGGCGCGCGCCGGGCGCTGCTCGCACTCTCTGGTGTCTCTCCCACCCCCACCCCCCCCCGGGCCTGGCCCGGTCCGGCCCGGCCCCAGCCCCCGGCCCCGGCCCTGGCCGCCCCCACCTCTCCACCTCTCCTGGCTGGCCCGGCCGCCCCTCTCTGCCAGCCCCGGTCCCAGCCCGGCTCCGCTCTGCTTTGCTCCCCGGCGCCCGCTCCCCCGCTCCCTCGGCTCCCCGGGGCTGCGCGGCCGGGGTCTTTTCCTGCCGGCTATTTTTGTGGGTTTCACTGCATGAGAGGCTGCCCGGGCCCAGCTGCCCAGAGCTGCCCGCAGGATTTAATCAAGTCTGAAAAAGTGCTTAGCGGTGCCCGCGAGCCGGCGGCGGCCGCGGCGGCTGTTTGGGCTCGGGCGGCGCGGCGCGAGCGATGCTAAGAATGTTCGGAATGAGAAGAGGAATGAAATGAACGCGAGGACCGAACTCGCTCAGGAGGGGTGGGACCTTGGTGACGTCATGCAGCCGGCCGCCCGGGGACCGGGGGCGGGGCCTGCCGCCGTCGGTGACGTCATAGGGAAGTCCAGGGCAGCGAGGGGGTGGAGTCGAGGGAAGGAGGGACGAAGAAGGGGAGGAGACAAGAAAGAGGGAAAAGGAGGGAAAGGAAGGAGGAGAGGGAAGAGGAGGAGAAAGGGAAGGAGAAGGGAGGGAAAGAAGGGGGAAGGGGCGGGCTGGTGCAGACAGCCGAGACTGGGGCTCGGGCGCGGGAGCTGGGAGAGCACCCCGTGCGCTCCGGGAGCCGTAGTAGCGGTTGTCGCGGTGCGCACGGAGGACTGGTCTGCTCTCCGGCCACTTGGCCCGAGGCTGGGGGGTGGAGTTTCTCTTTCGCGGCGGACCCCGGAGCTCCCGCTTTGTCCGCAGCTGGGGCGGGTCGCAGAGAAAAGCTGAAGCCAGGCACCTTGGCCCCGGTGGGAGGGAGGAAAGTGCAGATCAAGTTACCTGAAAGAACCAAGAGGGACCGCCTGGCTGGCTGTGGGAACTTTGGGAAAGTGGCCTGCCCTCCATCTTCTGTACCTCATTTTTCCCTATCTGCGAAATGGGAATAACGCTTGGCTCATGGCGCAAACTTAGAAGTTTCTGAACAATAAGAGTTCATTAATGAAAGCATGGCGGTAGAGAGCCAGCCTGGCCTCGGAGTCAGGACGACCTGGGTTCAAGTCCAGTCTCTTGTAGACTGTGTGACCCTGGGTAAATCACTGAACTGTTCAGTGCATCCGGCAACAGAAAGTTGTTTGGTAAAGGGAATTCGTTCACCAAGAGTTCCGAACTGCTGTCTTCCCCCTCCTCCCTCTCTCACCCTCCCCACCCCCAATGTGCTTAGCACTGAGGATTATAAAGATTTGAAATTCTACAGTCCTTGGAAACTTATGTTATACAGAGCATTCTGATACTGGAGAAAGGGAGTTTGCCTCCTTGAAAACCCGTTTATGAAGCCTGTGCTATGTACAGTGTGAGAGAGATAAAGACTTTTGCTTCCAGTGAGTAGCAGAAAGAGATGCACACAAATTACTCCGAATACACCTTAGAATGCATGGAATGTGCAGTGAAGTTCAAATAAAATCATCTTGGTTGGTTTTAGAAGCGACTGATCACTTCTAACTGATGGAGGTGTACTGACGGAGATCGACGGTGATTTATAGGCATGATAAGATGCATGGATGGAGAGACCAGCAAATAAATATACTCTATAGTTACAAAAAATATATAGCTAAAATGTATATAGCACTTATTATGTGCCAGGCACTGTGCTAAGTGTTTTACAATTATTATCTCTTGTGATCCTCACTACAGCCCTGGGAAATAGGTGTCATTATTATCACCATTTTACATGTGTGGAAATTGACTTGCCCAGGGTCAAGGTAAGTGTCTGAGGCTGGGTTAGAACTCAGGGCCTCCTGACTCCAGGGCAAGTGCTTTATGAATTTCAACACCTATCTATGAGGGGTGGGGGGAGGGAGGGAGGTGGGAAAGGCTCTCAAATAACAGGATAAAAAGTTTAGATTTCATTTGATGAGCAATAATTGAGAGATTTTCAGCCTGGAGGTGCATAAGGAAAAGTAGTCTTGCAAACAGGTGAAGGATGACTCTTTTCACCTTCATGTGTTTAAAAGGAGACTCCCCACCCCCCAACTCTGTCAGTTGAGGAAGGCATATGAGAAATGGTCTGAGAAAGGTCACGTGACCTTGGACACACAGGTCACAGAGTTATCAAGTAGCAGAACAGTGATGTAACTGAGGTGTCCTACACATAAGCCAACACTTCCCTCCCTGGCCTCCTGTTTTTGGAGTTCCCCTTAGTTGGGCTGATGCTTTCTCTTGATTCTCAAGACCCAGTTTCACAACCCAATTTTCGTTTGACATTAAAGTGAAAATGGTTATAGGTCCTTACCCTGGCTGGGGTTTTCTCTAGTTCCTAGAATGTCTCTTGAAACCCAAAGTGAGTAAGAATAGGATAGAAGCCCCCTAAAAGTGTTATTAGTGAAAGGGTAAGCACCAGTCTGGTTGTTAGTTACCTTGTTGGATTGACACAATCTTCCAGGTAAGCAACTCAAAGAATTTCCCAGATATTAAACTCATTGATCCTCAAGGAATTTAATTTTTTTAAATACTTTTAAAAATACTGATTTAAATTTTGAATACCCAGATAAGAATTTCCCTAAATTTATAAATACATTCATGTTCCCATCTCACTTGATAATCATCAGTCCTTTTATTAAACAAGGTTTAATTCTAGTAGGGTCAGACATGGTTTTTAACTTAGTCTTGAGATTACTGTCTTTGAAATGAGATATCATTAGACGCATTTTATGGATTAGAAAACAGAGGCCAAAATAATGATTTAACCATTGTGCAACTGTTTAGACCCACACTTCCCAACTCTCCTCCTAAAACTCTGAATGTTCAAGAGTCTGTATTTCATGGGGCAGCTAGATGGCTCGGTGGATAGAGCACCAGCCTTGATTTCAAATCTGCCCTCAGACACATAACACTTACTAGCTGTATGACTCTGGGCAGTCACTTAATCCAGAGAAAGAGAAAGAGAGTTTGCATTGTGTCTGCAAGATGATCCCGTTAGAATCATACACATTATGCTTTCACTTGAATGGATGACTTGAAACTTTTCAATGGGATAGTTAACTGGGAGAAATATGAACATAGCATGTAATCCACTCATTCATGTGTATTTCAATTTTTAAACAAAATCTTAAATTGACAGTACATTTTAAATAATCTATTACAAGATTTTTTTTACAAGTTAGAACAAAGTTCAAAATAATATAACACCTACAGACAAGTAAAGTACTCTTTTCTCTAAACCTCACTATTATAAACAGCATTTAGCTAACCTTTTTCCTTACCTATGGAACAATTCCAAGACTTATTCCAAGCTCAATCTATTCCTGCCTGCTTACAAGGCTGGTGTTTATTGCTCTGAAATTCCTCTTCTGTCCTGCACAGCAGGGGAGTGCTTTTGCTTTCTTCTAAAAGAAGTAGACTGTCCTCAGCCCCTCCATGTATTCATTACTTCATTCAAAAAAAAAAATAGCTGAACAAGGCTAGGTGGGATAGACTAAGTACCCTAGACAAATGTCTAAGTTATAGTTCCCACCCTCTGCCTTTCAGTTGTTTATAGACAAAAACAGTACACTACAGTAGAGAGTAGTACCTGGTCACTACAGTCTCTTCCTCACTTGGATCATAGACTGAAAGCTGGAAAGGACCTTAGATGTCATCTAGCCCACCCATCATTTTACAAATGAGGAAATTGTGGCCCAGAAGTTGTGACTTGACCAAGGTCCCACAGGTAATAAGTGACATAGCCAGGATTTGAACTTGGTCCTCATAACTTTAAACCAGAGGTCTTTCCATGGCACCATGCCACCTTCCATGTCTGCCTCTTCAATGTGGCTTTCTTGTGATGTTCTTTGTCAATCAGTGTCCATAGGATCTATCTCCCAGACTTATTGTGAGGATCAAATGAGATAATATTTGTAAAGCACTTAGCACAGTACCTGGCACACACTTAATAAGTGCTTTTTTCCTTCCTTGTAATTACATAGCTCCAATTTTTAAACTAAATCATGAAGTTTATTGCCAACAATTTTTAAAAGGCACCCAAAACTGTTTTCCCCCTTTCAAACTGGGTTAAGAAATAACTGAAAGCAATCAAATAATCCAACCTTAATGGAAAGAGTACAGATGGATTTCGGAATCTTGGGTTCAAATCTTCACTGTTTTTTAATACCCATGTGACTTTTGGCAAGTCTTTTAATCTCTCTGCACCTCAGTTTCATCTGTAAAATGAGAGAGGTGTGGACTAAACAACCACTAAGATCACTTTCAGCTTTAAATCTATGATACTGTGATAAAGCAAATTTGTAAAATCCTAGTCTTCAACGTGAAAAGAAACTTTAGAGATCATCTCATCCATTTCCTATGCAAAACAAGCATTAATACTCTTAATAGTAGCCCCAATATAGGATACCCATCATCATAATGATAACACACATTTCTGTAGTGCTTTAAAACTTAGAAAGTTCTTGGAGACCACCAGCAACAGGGAACTCTCCCCCTCCTCCCCACACACCCTGAAAACAGCCCATTCCATTTTTAGACAGCTCTGATTATTAAGAATGATCTTCTAATGCACAAGTCTAATCATGTTATTCTCCTTTTCAAACACTTTCAGTGGTTCTTAATTGTTTATGAAATAAAATCCAAATTACTTAACCTAGTATTTGAGGCCCTCAAAAATCTGGCACCTTCCTTTCTGGCCATCTCAAATACTATTCCCCTTTATATGTGATACTTTTGAGCAAAATCAGACTATTCAGCATTTTCCAATCTCATCCTGCCCTTGTCCATACTGTCTTCCACATCAAGTATGGTCTCTACTCACATCTCTATCTCTTGAAATCCTTCTCCTCCTTCAAGTATTACCTCTTATACCAAGCATTCTGTGATCATGCCAACTATAAATGAAC